GGCAGGCTTGTGGGGCATTTTCTTGATTACTATTGATGTGGAAGGGTCCAGCCCATAGCGGGAGATGCCACCTCTGGGTAGATGGTCCTCAGTGCAATAAGAAAGCGCACAGAACAAGATGTGGAGAGAAAGGTTGAAAGCGGCACTCTTCCACAGTCTCTGCCTCAATTCCTGCCTCCAGACTCCTGCTTTAAGTTCCTGCCTTGATCCCCCTTCATGATGCACTGCCACCATAAGCCCAGAGAAACCTTTCCTTCCATAAGTTGCATTTGGTTATGCTGTTCGTCACCGTCACAGACCCCGAACTAGGACACCATAAGAGAAGTAGCTCCAGTTAGGAACATAAAACCACAATGCTCATCCGATTCCAACTTGGCAGTTCATTAAGTTGGAAATCCAAACTTCAAGTTCCCACATCCTCTTCACTGACTAATATTAACTTCGTACTAAAAGAAGCTCTAAGGTTGGCCCAAAAGAGTCCATGTTTGCTCTTCTCCGCAGGCCATTCCAAGTAAGTCCGCTGTGTCATAAGAGCCCGCAGCTTGTGGTACCTACTGGGAATGTTATCTTGTGGAATGGGCTCCAGCAAGATCAGGATTAAATTATCAGAGCCTTCGTGGAAGAGATTGTGATGGGCAAAGTAGAGCTCATAATGGCACCACTCACTCTGAATGAAGTGGGGAGACAACACAAAGATGGACTTGTAACTCTTCTCGATGGAATGGATGATATTCTCCACGATGCTCTTGCCAGGGATAAAGTTTCTCTCATGGAGGCAAACCCTTATGCCATCTTTCTCTAGGTTTGGTAGTAATTCATTCTTCACCCAGGTGGAATCACGTTCACTGTATGAGACAAAAGCATGGAATTGAAGTTTCCTCTGGAGTTCCTCTTCGGGGATGTTCCTGGCCCTGTGCCGGGTCTGTGTCCACTGACACATCATCCTTAGGTACCAGGGCAGATCAAAGTAGAGGCAGAGGAAAGTCATGATGGCAGCCAACACCAGCAAAGTGGCCCCGACGGTGACAATCAGCAGAACAGTATCACAGGACAATGGAGACATGTGGAAGTCCTGCAGTGGGGTCCCCTTAGCGCCTTCTGGGGAGTCACACCTGTAAGAATCGGGCCAGCCCTCTACCACTCCTCCTGACACATGGCCTATGTTTTTGATAAACTCCCTCAGCTCACATGTACATCGGAATGGGTTGTTCCCTGCTGCTAAGGACCTGATCTTCTGACAGCTCTGGAAGAAATCCACTGAGGGGTGGGAAACTGAATTATGCTCGATGACCAGCACAGAAAGGCTGCTGAAGGCCCCGCATCCGGGAAGGTCCACTAAAGAATTGAATGCAACATTGAGTTCCTGCAAAGCTTGCAGGTAGGTGATCTCTTTAGGGATGCTCATTATTCTGTTGTTGTGAAGGTCAAGGACCTTGACCTTGGGTGGCAAGCATCTGAAGACAGAGTCAGTAAGTCCATTTGAAGAAAGGTTTAACACCAATATGCTCTCCGCCCAAGGGCATGTTTCCTCATATGCATGAGAGTCCAAGGAATTCAAACTAACATCCAAAGTTTCTAGAGAGACCATGTTCTTAGTCATGAGACTGACCTTGAAAAGGTTCTTCAAGCTATTCTTTTGTAAGATAAGTGTCTCCAATTTCCTTAAGGTGGAACAGTTATGGAATACACTGTCTGTGAAAACATTCTGGGTAAAGTTCAGAAACGTAAATGCGCTTGGGAACTGAGGGCAGGTCATATGGATGAAAGGTGTGTGTGAGAGGGTCAGCATCGTGATGTTCATATCAGCAAACACAGAGTACAGTGCCTCCTTTGCAAAGATAAACACCTGGTTCGTAACATGCTCTATTGTCAATGCCTTCAGTGTTGTCTTTGAGTAAATAAAATTTTCACTATTGATGCTTTCAATTATCGTTAAGTTGTAAATATTGAGATACTCCACTGGTCGGGGCCGAAGAAATTGGAGAAGTTCAACAAAGCACTTCCAGGTTGTTTCCATGTGGTGGAGAGTCAAATTGAATAAGGTTGGCCCTCTGGTGAGTTCTGATAAGAATGTAATTAACCTTTGACAGTTTCCATTATTCAATTTAATATTACTCAGTTGTAAACATCCCAAAGCATTCGCAGATATGTTCACTTGCACAGAGAACAAGCTACTTGGATGAAAGACTAAATGAAGAGCGTTGGTGTTCAGAACCTCAAGACTTTCTTTCTCACCATCTTTGACCCGATAACCCACTAAGTCCAGAAGAAGGTAGTTCAGGTGCAAGTGAGCAATTGGGAGCAGATCCAATTGTCGGAACTTCATAGCACTTAATCCCAAAAATCTCAGGTGCATCAAGTTGCCAAATTCCTTATACACGGGCAGCAGGTCGAAGTCGTTGAATGAGAGGTCTAAATGCTTCAGGCTCACCGCAGGGCAGCCAGAGATGTTTCGCAACTGATTGTGAGAGACATCCAGATATTCTAAATCTGGGCTGAACTTAAACACATCAAAATCAAGTGTCTGGATTCTGTTATGGGAGAGCCTCAGAAACCTCAGCTCCGGCAGAAAGCGGACATCAGACACCTGCAGCTCAGGGATAGAGTTTTGAGACAGATTTAAGGATTTTGTTCCTGGCGGCAGGTCTTTGGGGACACGAGTTAGGTTCCTGTTTGAATAGTCAACTGCAGACTCAAGTTCATCAGAGGACTGGATCGTGATTCCGACTGTGAAGGCCAGGATGCAAACAAAATGAAAACTTCCCACAGCGGGTTCTCTATCTCGGGTCATGATGCAATGGTTAGCCCAAAGGGATTGTACCATTTGTTTCATAGCATTTTTACTTGAGTTCAAGTCCTAGAAATAAGAGAGACTTTAAGGCGAATGAAGATTAGATAATGGCTTTTAAGCTCCCACTTCTCAGAAACTCGGATATTTTCTTCATCCTCTCTGGCAGTCATCACTAGCCCATGTTTTTATGTGAAATTTTCTCAGTCTGTAGCTACAGGGGACAATATGAACTTTTAATCAAAGTTCCATGATTAAGTGTTTTGACTAGTCTAGGGGGTTAAAGGATTCGGGGGAGGGGCATCACCTTTGTTCCTTACTCAGAACTTTCTCAGGACTGGAGCAACCTCCTGGGCAGTGGTTGTCAAAAAACAAAAGTTGAGGACAAATAGACTAGCTGCAGTCACCTGAGCCAGAGGTAACAAAGAATAGACACACCAAAAGGCGAGAGAAGTAAGAGAAAGGGAGAAGGGATATGTAGATACCGGGAAAGTGGGGCGAGGAGAGACAGGAAGAGGGGACAGAGGCAAGGAAGAGAAGGCAAAGAGGTGTAGAGGGATCAACATAAATACACATGCAAGAATCCATACCACTCGGGCTCTGAATTGCATAGAAAAATATCTGAGCCACAGAGGGCCAGAAGCCAGCCAGAGACTGTGTACTGGGCTTTGAAGTCAAAGAATTCTCAACCAACAACTTGATCCTCACAGTGGCATCCTGCCCTCCCACCCTCACCCTTCCCGTTACAATCACATTGACAACTCAAAGTCGGCAGACACGTTTCAGGGAAACAGGAGCATTTGGGTCCTGGCAGAGGTTCATTTCATTGGTTCTTTTGATGCCAGAGATTTATTTTTAGTCCCTGGATCTCAGCTCTTTGACACGTGTTTCATAAAAAGGAGCATGCATTTCTCCGACAACTATTAGCCTAGAAGCTATAGAGTGAAGGAAATGAGATTCAGCATGTGACAGTCAGAAGCTTGGAAGTTTCTATAGTTCACACAAAATGGGAGAAGAGAGAGAACTATGTCAAAACACACCGGGGGAACCAGCCACAGTAATGCAGGGTAATCTGCCCTAGGGAAGCCCAGGCAAGGGGATTAAGAGTTTCAGGCCAGTCTTGGCTATATAGCGAGAGCTTGTTTCAGGAAGAAAAGCTAAAGCCCATGGAAGAATCTAGGTGTGTGAGGCTAAAGTATGTCAGCAATAACTATTTTTTCCAGAGCCCAGAAGGCTTCATGTGTATCTCATCAGATCACAGACATTGATGTACATAACAATGACACTGAGTGACGAGAAAAGTCTACCTGAGTGAGACACGGAGGCAGGCGCCCAGGCCCGCAGACCTCGTGTTTCAGGGAGGACAGATGACTGAGACTCCCTGGCTGGCTCCACCCTCTTTTGGGTTCTATTTTATACGTAAAATTATTTGTGAGCTTGGGGCACAAAAGCAGACGTTTCTTAAGTAGAGCCTTGTATCACAGAATAACTGGGAGAGGCTTCATCTAGCAGCTGATGGGAGCAGATGGAGAGACATCAGGCAGAGCTCAAGGAACCCTGCGGAGGAGGGGGAGGAAGGATTGTAAGAGCCAGAGGTGTCAAAGACACCGGGAGAACGTGGTCCTCAGAATCAACCAAGCAAGGTTCATGGGGGCTCACAGAGACTGAAGCGACAATCAGGGAGCCTGCATGGCTCTGAGCTGGATCCTCTGCATATATATTATGGTGGTGTAGTTTGGTGCTCTTGTGGGACTCCTAACAGTGGCAGTGGAGGCTGCCTCTGACTCTTTTGTCTACTTTTGGGACCCCTTTCCTTCTACTGGGTTGCCTGGTCCAGCCTTGATACGAGGATATGTGCCCAGTCTTACTGTAACGTGTTACGCCATTCGGTTGATATCTCAGAGAGGTCTGCTCTTTTCTAATGGGAAATGGAGGAGGAGTGGTTCTCGGGGAGAGGGATTGGGAGGAGTAGAGGGAGGGGAAACTGAGGTTAGGATGTAATATATGCTGTGCTAAGGTAGGTAGATAGGGAAGAGGGGTGGATCAGGCAGGAATTGCGGGGGGGGGGTGCTGCATACAATCAAAATACATTGTACGACATTCTCAAAGAACTAATAAATTAGAAAAATTTAAAATCCACTTGAAATATACCCAAAATAAAATGTTATATGTAAATAAGCATGCTTGTATTGTTGATAGTATTAATACATACATAAAGAGGGTCAGCATTTTCAACACGATGGTAGAGAATTGATATTCATGGATGAAGTCCCATCCTACAAATTCTTCTGACAGCTTGTGTGTCTTGTTCAGGGGATCTGTCATTCAGCCGCCATGTGACCACGAGGACACATGTGAGTCCTGGAAGTTGCTCAAAACCTCAAGCAGTTCTTAGGGTATGCATTCTGAGAAGCAGAGCCGAACTTCAGTGTATACATGGTTGAGGGGGTGGGACAACCGGAAGATCTCCCTGGAAAATTCAAGAGTTTCTGTCTTTCTAAAGGAAGTTAGGAATGGAGGAGGAGTAAGATTTATACATCAAACAAAAAGTGAAAGAAAAAAGGAACAGTCAACACAAGCCCTATTTCAAAAACCACAAAGGTGGCGGGTGGAGGGAGTCGCTGTGAAAATTAAAGCTACGAGAAGGGGAAGGGTAGTTAGTAACGGTAAGCAAGGGCAAGCATGAGAAGAATTTTGTCATCAAGTCAACACAAACACAAGAGGAACCCGGCTTTGTCAAACTCTGGGTGGAGGAAGAGTGCTGGACTCAAGGTCACAGAGTTTAGGAATCCGGCCTCGTCCACTTCCACCACTTAAATCATGTTTGTTCAGTGGGCACGGGGCACGGTAGAAACTAGCGCTGGGGATACGAAATCACATGGGAGCGACTGAATTAGCCTTTCCTCCACAACGCTCACGAATCAGTGAGAGGTACCGACCAATTAAAGATTATAGTACTACATGACTGGGAAATGAAACACTGTACACCAGTACAGACTGTGTGCTGTCGCGTCTACAAACGACTACAAACTCCGTGAATGGAGAAAACAGCCCAAACCAGGGGGGATAAAACCACACGAGTCTGCTCACTTCCTTGGCTACTGCTGAAATGCCAACTGTTTTCTGTCTAGCGTAAAGTCACATATTTGTCTTAGGTGGTTCAAACGATAGCCACACTTCAAAACACCAAACACAAAATCTTTTTGTAAAAACTTCAAAGAAAGGTTACCTATTACCTACACTGCCGTTACCATTTTCTTTCTCCTTTAAAGCGTCAACACAATAATTTGAAAAATCCAATTTGAAAAATCCAGAAAAACCTTCTTACTCACCAAGACTTCCTTCTCGGAAAAGAAAGTAACCTCTGAAGTGCTCTGAAAAAAGTATGAGCTTGACCTATCCCAGTCCTTAGCCCGGGAGCAGCAGTACGTGAGTGGTTTGGCGCCATCTCTTGACCCTCGGTGGAATTACCCCACGTATAAAATCGTTCCAATCTAAAACAGCTTATAAATCCTTGAAGCAAATTGTGAACGTTTTGTAATTACTAGAAATATTTATCTAAGACACGTTTTACGTTTTCAGGCTAAATTTTAAATTGCTGCCAGGACAGAAAGTTATGAGACTCGATTCTCTGTGACAACAATCCTTCACATTTCCCCCCAGAAATGCCTGTCAATCAAGCACGGTTTGAGCATCTTGGGACTGACAGAGATACTTTAAAAATAAAAGAAGCTTAAGCTCGTCACTTGCCTTTTAGGAAAGTCAATTTTCAAGAGAAGTTTTGTGACTGATACACATTTAGCCTGGCTTCACAGTCTGACAAACATTGGATAATATTGGGTGTTCTAATTTTTTTGTTTTGTTTTGTCTTTGATTTTTGAGACAGGGTTTCTTTATAGCTTTGGGGCCTGTCATGGAACTAGTTTTGTAGATTAGGCTGGTCTCAAACCGACAGAGATCTGCCTGCCTCTGCCTTCCGAGTGCTGGGATTAAGGGCGTGAGCCACCACTGCCCAGCTGCATGTTCTAATTTTTCATCCTGGAAGAGCAAACAATGCTGGAATCCTTCTAGATCAGACTAGAAATTAGTTTTCTAAAGACTGTTTAGAATTTGAGTGGGAGGGGCATACCTTGAAGGTGACAGTTCCTACCCATGATTAACCCCAATAAAAACACACAAAAAAAATAAAAAAAAATAAAAAGAATTTGAGAATGCTTCCAGTCCAGGCTGGAAGGCAAAGAGAATGAAGGCCAGCCCCTTCAGCCAGGTGTTCCCGTACCGAGCCTTCTCACTTGATTAGCTTGTGCAAAGAACTGAATACAGGAGCTAAATAAGCGTCCCCTAATTGATCTAACTGCCAAAGCAAGTTAAGACTGTAGGTAGGACAATGCTGAGCATAGGAAGAAATTACTTCTACTTTCAGGAGAAAGGGAAGAGAAAGATCTTACTGTTCATCCTTACTCACCAAACATTAGAGGAAGTCTGCTCGGAACCGGGGAGGCTCAGCAAGGAGGGAGGGAGGCAAGGCTGGCAGCTTGTGAGCAGCGGGTGGGGGGGGGGGGGTCACCAGGAGAGGGGACACAGGCAGAGGGGAGAGGAGCCAGAGGCAGGGAGGGATTGCAGGCAACACTGGGCCTGCTTCTTAAGAGAACACATGATACATATGTATACACACAAAACGTGTGGGCACACGCACGTACACACACACGCAGGCGCACACATACACATCACTGAAAACTGGTCACATGACTCATGTCTCAACTGTATTGCATAATAATGTTGACATTTGGGGAGGCAGACACTTTTCTTGCTGGGGTTGCTGCAATCCTCAGAAGCGCCTTCAAGGGGAAAACCAAACCAGCCAAATTCGTGTAACAAGGAAGAGCCCACATGACAGTGAAATGAGCAGAGGGGAGAACAGTGAGCTGAGTTCCTCGCGTGGCTACTTGCGAGCTGTGAGGCTTTGGCTAAGTTGTGTGACCTCGCTGAGGCTGTCTTTACCTGCAGAATGGTCAGAATTGTGACTTTCAGGGATGATGATGAACATCAGGTGGCTGGACCAGGAACCACCCAAAAGAGAAGGCAGGAGAGTAGGGGATTTGAATCCTGTGAAAGCCGTGTTTTTAAGTGGAGAAGTAGGGAGATCAGAGGATACTGTGGCCAAATGAAGCAAAGCAAGCTGCAGCACCACGGCCTGGCAAGCATAGACAGGGCTTGTCTCCCTGCCAGCTTTCCTCGGAGCTCTTCACAAGGACCCATCAAGTTCCCGCCAACCCTCAGAAAGGTGCTGGGGGAGAAGCACTTTCATCACCCCCACCTAACACCCATTCCGGAGCAGCTAGGAAACGGATGGCCAGGGGTGGGTGGCCCCAAGACTGTGGGCCAAGGCCCAAGACTCACATGAAGAGGCACAGGCAGACACCCATTGGACTCGGACATAGAGCCGATGAAATGCCTGCAGCCAGGGGCTGGAGGGCTCACCACCCTGCGTTCATTTCCAATTCTCTGACTTCTGGAACCTTAAGCAGAATAAATTGCTGTTGTTTTAAGCACATGACTGAGGATAACTTATTATGTCAGCCACAGGAGATTAATACCAGGATTGCACACATATCCTGGAACAGGCATAATTCTTTTCTCAGAGGTTACTTCAGAACTCTTGTCTTCCAGCAACAGAGCTAAGAGCCATTACCATCGTATGACCCTCTCACCTTAAAAAAAAAAAAATGCCATACACATATGTCATTTTTTTGAGATAGTATCTCACAGATGGGCCTCAAATTTGCAATCCTCCTGCCTCAGTTCCCCAGTGTTGACATTGTAAGCATGTGCCAACTTTATGTTATTTTATTTTTAAAAATGCCACAGCGGGATAAATAAGATAACATGGCCCGAGGCCAGCTAATATCCTGTCCCAGTTCAGACAGAAGCAAAACATGAAGTACTGATATTAAAGCTAACATTTGCTATTGATTTTGTGGGGGAGATAAGCCACAGCTGTGTTTAAAAAAAATGTATTTGTAGTACATACAACCATATGATAGTATCCAAAATATATAAAGTTTCCAACAAATCGGTATAAATGTGATTGAGAAACCTAAAGGGGAGGGCAAGGTAAGCCAAGGATATAAACAGACGGATAGCAGAGGAAGTCGAAAAGGGTCTGACATGGGGATGTACACAACCAAGCATCCTCACTACCCTTGGGAAAACACGAATTCAGATACCCCTGGTTGTATATCACTGCCCACTCCTGAGACAGACACAAATCCAGACCCTTGGTGATGCCAAGCCTGAGTGAGAATGATAGGAGACAGAAGCTTGTCAACATGTCCAGGGGCCTGACTTGTTTATAAATGGTCAGAGGAGCCAGGCTTTGATGCCACGTTTGAAGCTCTTCTGATTCTATCGATGCCGTAGGAGGATCTAGGAGCGGAGACCTGTACACTACCTGGTGTCTTGTTTCCTAACAGAGCACTCCCAGGGGCCTGGAGGTGTTTGTCCTTGGCTTTCTTGCTCATTGCCTCCATCTTTCACTCTGACACCTGAAGCCAATCCTTGAAATCAGTTTGCCTGATGTTTCAGATTTGGTGTTTTGTTCACTAAGTTGAGCCCCACCAGCCCTTGGCTAATTCTAGGGTGTTCGGCAGTTACGCAGAAAACCCCTGATTATATCCCAGATACTTTTAATACCAGTGGCTGCGCTCAAGCTCCAGCCACCATCTGACTTTTTCGGCGCTCTGATTTCCATTTCCACCTCAAGTCCTTCCCTCTGATGCCAGCAATTCCCCAGCCTTGCTGTGTCCGTCTGCATTCCCACTGGGCTACCTTATGCCCTCTTCTCAGTCCACGTTAAGTCTCTCTTTTCTCTGGACCATGGAGCCCAAGCTACTTGAGGGAGTTGGGAGTAAACATCTGCACCACCCAGAGCTGGTCTCATGTAAAATGCATACTGTGTCCCAACCTGAAGGGGTGCGATTGTATCAGCTTCCGTACCCTGGCCCAACTCTCTCCTCTGCTTTCTCATGCTCCACGCTCGCCCTCCTCTAACTCTCCGACCTTCCTCCCCTTCATTCTTCATTCTTGGCTGATGAGGCTTCATACCACACAAGGAAAACAGACCTGTCCATACGGCAAGGTCCTGCCCTCTGCGAAGCTCTGCCAGCCTGGCTGCTCCCACAGCAGAGGACTCGCTCTTGCCTTGTCTCCTCAGGAAGTCGCTCTCTCCCGTGTGCTCTCTCTGCCTTGGTGCCAGCATTATTTTGCACTCAGCATGGCGCTTTCTCTAGAAAGCAAAATCCTTTCTTTAAATGCACAGCCTCCTCATCCTTGTTCCTCCTCACCCCGGAACATGGCTGGTATTTTTCTCGTCACTCTCACAGTTATTCTCTCTCTGTTCCCTTAAACAGACACCGTTCGGGTTTCCTTCCCTGCTGCTCAAGACGCTTTTCAAGGTCATAAACGGACTATCATAATGTCCAACACAGTGGTCGGGTTTCCTTTTCCATCTCATTTGGGTTATCAAGCAGCATTTTACATGGCCGAAACTTCTGGACTTTCTGGACACCCAGCTTCCCTCCCCTTTTCTTGAATTAAATCCCTGTGAACTCACTGGCATTGCTCCCCACTCTATGGTCCTTTCTGTTTTGAACTTCTCTTCTTTCTCCCATCCTGTCTCGTGGCATCAATGCCAGTGACTCCCCAGTAACCATCTCCAACCCAGATTTCCCTGAACTGCAGACCCTTCTATCCAATTGCCTGCTAAACACTAACCAGGCTATTCTTGTGGAGAACCAAACAGTTACATCCTCACTACCTTAATTACCCAAACTACCCTTCACATCCTTTCTCATCTCTCTTTGATCTTTCTACTCGCCCAGAATCTCAGTCCAAGATCCTGGGAGTAATTGGTGACTTCTTTCTCTTGTTGAAGCTATCAAAATTTACAACCAATCCAAAAACTAATTTTTCTGTGCTTTCTTCAAAATAGATTAATAAACAAAGTCCTTTCCATGCTCTGAATCACATTCTCCTGATGGTGAGATTTATGAGGTCAAGGCCATCATTGCTATCATTGGATCACAGGGATAAGCGAAGTAGTTCCTTATTGGCCTCTGCATTTGCCTCTCCCCATTCAGTCCCATCCACCCCAACCCCGCCAGACTCAGACCCCATAATCACAGCAGCCTTCTATTAAAAAACTGCAAGGCTTCCCTTCAGCTCAGAAGTATAGACGGACCCCAATCCTTCTCACCCGCCACACTCTTCGACTCACAGGTTCTACGAAACCTTTGTTCCTTCTGGTATGCTATCAAGGGAGGGCCTCCAGAGCAGAGCCAGCATTACTTGCTACATAAT